TATTATAGCTTAATTAAAAACATATTTTTTTTGCGTCGGTACAAGCTCCCAGCCCGTCCGCTATTGAATGCTTACTGCTGTCCATCTAATATGACAGTTGTTAGCTCAAATGTTATTTTGTTCATTCTATCATACACACCCTAACGTCAGCAAGAGTAGAGCCCCTTCAAGCACATATAAAGTCCATCCTCCACAGCTCACATATAAAGTCCATCCTCGACTGACCAATTACGTCGTAATTACGACGAATTATGATCTGTAAGCGGAGTAAAATGACCCTTAGAACCGATACTTTACAAATTTGCATACGACCCGTACTAACCTATGCAAGTGTTGGTGTTCGCTCACGTGGACCAATCCACATAGACACCCTTCAGTCTCTTAAATCCCGTCGGGGCACCGTGGTTCGTGAGGAATGTCGATCTCCATGGCAATGTGGGCTTTGAATCCATCAAAAAACACTTGAAGTCAGCGTCGGAACGGTACTTCGGTAAGGTGATGCATCATGAAAACCACCTCATCATATCTCACCCCACCTGGGTGAGCCTGAGCCCGCCCACACGTCCTGGTGAAACTAGAACGGCCTTTGAGCCACCAGTAATCCTTCCATCTTCAAAAAAAGTGCCTTCGACACAATAACAAATATCATAAAGAATCTCAATTTAGTCAACGCGCCTTTTGTTTTTAAGCTCAGAGTAAACTGGAATGAAGAATAGCTTTGTTGTGTAAAACGAGCTTTTCCCGGCGAGTGCTCTTTGTGTTGTGAAGTCTGTCACGCAACTGTTGCGGATGTTAACACATTATGAACTCTGTGGACATTGAGCTCAAATTTAGAGGGAGTGAAGGGCTTTTAATCTATTATCTTTGTTTTTCACTTTCATGAACAGGGCTTACAACGTGAAGTGGTCTAATGAAAGTATAGATATGGAAATGTTTTGAGAAAAAAAAAAAAAGTTATCATAATACTATCTTTAGAGTTGTTTGACCGTTTCAGAATTTTCTCGTTTAAGAAAGGTTTTACTATATTTTTTTATTGCTAAGGTGGCTGAAAGAGCTCTTTTTTTTTTTATTGCTTCGATGTGTGGACGAGCTCACAGACCACTTGGTGTTAAGTGGTTACTGGAGCCCATAGACATCTACAACGTAAATGCGCCACACACCTTACCACCAGTAATTACGCAAATTATAATTTTGCGGGTTTGATTTTTACTGCACGATGTTATTCCTTCACCGTGGAAGTCAATCGTGAACATTTGTTGAGTACGTATTTCATTAGAAAAATTGGTACCCGCCAGCGAGATTCGAACACCGGTGCATCGCTCGATACGAATGCACCGGACGTCTTATCCTTTAGGCCACGACNCCAGTAATTACGCAAATTATAATTTTGCGGGTTTGATTTTTACTGCACGATGTTATTCCTTCACCGTGGAAGTCAATCGTGAACATTTGTTGAGTACGTATTTCATTAGAAAAATTGGTACCCGCCAGCGAGATTCGAACACCGGTGCATCGCTCGATACGAATGCACCGGACGTCTTATCCTTTAGGCCACGACGACTTCAAAAGAGACGAAATTTCGAGACGAAATATAGTGTTAAATGGTTATCGGAGCTCATAGACTTGAAAAAAGTAAATGCTGCCACCCACCTTGAGACATGAGTTCTAAGGTTGCAGTTTTAACAGTACAACGACTGCCCGACCCTTCAAACTAACACACTTTACCGCTTCACGGCAGAAATAGACAGGGAGGTTGGAGTCTAACCTATAGTTCAAAAGACGCCCTACCACCAGTAAATTAAATATATAATAACAAGAATACAATAATAAAATCTAGTTAGCTCGTATTATTTATTTATGAAATTAAATTAACATGGCTCTCAGGAAGAAAATTCAAATGACCAAAACGACATACATATAATAAAGAAATATAAGAATAACTAAATTAGGTTTCACGAAATAAATACTTAAGAAAATCAAATTATGAAAGATAAATGTTGTTGTTGTTGTTGTAGTCATAGGGTACGCCGCTGGTACATAGGGCCCTCACAAGTTGTCTTCACTTGACCTTGTCCTGCGCTTGCTCCTTGACATCACTCCAGGTCACGTTGGCAGTCCTCGTCTCGCTGTGGTCCACGGTGCGTCGCCAAGTGTAGATACAGGGCGATCAGGTCTTCTCCTATCACGCGATTGCCACTCAAATCCGATTGATGCTCCGTTGACTCCGCTGCACCACAGTGTGTCCTATCTAAGGCCATTCCCTATGGGCAATGTCTTGCGCGATGGGGGCTTTGTCACATTTGGTTCAGAGGTGACAATCTATATAGTGACTGGCCAGAATATGCTGACTATCGACCTATTATAAAAATAAATAGAGAACACTATTTATTTAAAAGTTAAACCAAAGTAGAAAGAACGAAATGAACCAAACATGAAGTCAATGGTGTATCAAGTTTTTAATTTAAAGATAAATTATTGATAATGTATTTACCATTAACGAAATAATATTATTATAACAAATAAGATACAGAAGAATAGTTAAAATTGTCACAAGAATCCATTAAATAATTGTGTGTGTTATGTATATAGACAGACCCGAGAGCTTAAAGCAATTTGTAGTAGGTGAATAAAATTAACACGTTGAACGCTTTACGACCCAACGGTGGGCATAGCGTACTATATATTATGTATACCTTTCGGGCCAAAACAAAATCAGGCTATCAGGGATTTTTATCAACTTGAGCTTTTCATTCTAAAATTTATAATTTCCAGGGAAAATAAAAATTCGCGACTTTTACCGTTTAGTTTTTAAGATATTTGAAATTTTATATATAACCTTAATAAAAACTACAAGTTTCTATTGGATTTGAAAATCACTCCCTTTAGTTGGACTACAGGGCCATGCGGCTCATTTCCATACGCATTTTGTTTGATAGTTACAATCTGTGGCTAGTAGGAAAAGTTTCACCCTCAAGCGACTCACAGGTGACCCTCATGGCTCAAACGGTTCAGAAGGATAAAGGTCACCGGTGAAGACTGTGGTCTGAATAAAAATACCTGATTTTTCATATGGCGTTCAACGTGTTAAGAACAGAAATATAAATAGTATGTTACATTAAGTTCGCTATGTTAATATAATTGCGTATATCAAACTAATTTCGGTAAATAAATATGTCAAACCAAACTAATATTGGTTTTTGCCTACGAAATTGCCGTATAGGGAATAGAGAACAAGCCGTATAAGGAAAGTTAAAGTATTTTTTTTTGTAATATTTGTATTTTTTTAATGCCCTTGTACGGCCCACCTGATGGTGAGTGGTTACCGTCGCCCATGGACTTTAGCAATGCAAGGGGCAGAGCTAAGCCGCTGCCTACCGCTAATTTTGTTTCTTACTATCAGAATAAGGTATTGATGTATCTCGACCAGCGCAGTTTTCGATGCCCTTCATGAAGAAGTCAGGCATACTCGAGTAAACAAATTCTTTAAAGACGTTTTGTACAGTCTCTTGTATCGAATTTTACTTTGAAGAGAAGCTGTCCAAACTTTGGCTGACGGCGCTAGTCTGGTGAAGACGGTGGATGACGCAAAATTTTCAACCCTAGCTTTGTAGCTTATAGACCGTCTGTTGTGGTGTATGAGATCGAGCGTTGTCGTGTAGAAGCAGCTGAGCGGAGACTAGAGATTAATCAAGGCTGGCCGCAGGATCGTGAATTTCTCCATCATCCAAGATCCACCATTCACATTACAGAAATGCTGGTACCATTTGGTAAGCTGTGATGAATTATACCAGCATGCGACCACCAAACAGTGAACATTATTTTTAAGGATAAATTTTAGTTTGCCTAGATCCTGATTTAGTTATGATTACCAAAAAGAATCTCATTTTCATCGCAAGGGATAATGTGGTTCAAAATACCTTCGTTTCTTTGTCTGTTAAGCAGCAAAAGGCATACCTTAACGTGTTTGTCGCGTATTTCATAATTAAATATGTACGAGTATTTGTGAAAATAAAACACTAATCAATAAAGAAATGAATAAATGCGAAAATAGAATTCCATATTTTAAGGAAGATTTTTGTTTTGAGTTTGTTCTTTTTTTTTTTTGTTGTTGTTTGTTATTCTTTTGTCAATGCACCTACCATGCATTATCTCTGCACCACCCTATGGTCGACTGGAAGAGAATGCCCATGGCATTAAGTCCGCCTGTATACAAGTTTTGTTTTGTGCATAAAATATAAATAAATAAATAAAATAAATAAAGATTCATTTGCATTTATTGTTTTTAAATTACTTTTCTATTTCCAGTATTCTAAAATAGCAACTTCATACTATATTCTCATTACAATGTTCTTTGCAAATGATATTATTAATGTGAACATAGTTAGCCTATTATTTAATAATATATTAGACAAATATACATATTAATTTAAAGGTATACTGTACTTTGGAATGAAATGTTCGCGTTATTTCTTATTCGCTTTGATATAACTAATATTTTCTACGTTTATTTAACACTAAATTTGCTTAGTATTATAATACTTAAAAATAACATTAACAGTTTAATCTCGCGTTTTTAGTGATAACTAGAGGTCCCGCAGTAGTCGAAATTCGACAATAATTAATTGGAATTGCAAATTTGTACACCATTATGATTATAATAATATTTTATAATTCTATAATCACAAATTTCGCCAAGACTACACTATAAAAGATATTAACAAAGACAAACAATATTTAATCTATTCTCAATTTGACAACAGACGTCAAGAACAAAAGTTTGAAAATAAATAGTATGCATGCGTGTGTGCGTCGAATACATGGTATGTAGTGTGTGTAATGTTTTCTTTATTGATTTAATGTATCTTTTATGCATTATTTTAAAAAAATATTAGCATGGTGCACTTCTTCTCTATATTCTCTATCAGTTTGGAAAATTTCATACTCCTCGGTCCGCGCAATTTTCGTAAAAAGGGATACAAAGTTTTTGCTTCACGTATTAATATATCGACGGCAAAAAGCAAACCTGCTGTAACCCACATCAGTCACGATTTCTTTTTATTTCATATTTGGAATCAGAAAAAAAAACTCAGTCGAATGGTTCTATTCCCGTGGCTCAACGACGATTAGAAATTTTTGTACAGCAATAGAAATAATCCTATTTTTTCAAAAAGACAACTGGTTACTTGAAGTAAATAACATGAAAAACAGCATTTTCCTAGCATTTGTTATTTACACCAACTTTGCTTTTCCTAATAAAGTAATCATTGTAGTTACAGCACCGTTGTACGCTGGTTAGTGTGGCTTACAGCAAAATTGCATATTATTTTTTAGCAAGGTACCACGTTTACGACATTTAGTATATAATAAACAATTGATCCTTGTAGTGTACTACAAGAATAACAACTATGATATTGTAGACAATCGCTAATTACGGCAACATAAACACATAAAAGTTTTTAGATTCCTGTTATCTATGCCATTTTTAATACAATATTACTGTGTTGATTATGTGCGTTTACCGCCATTAAATACGCGCGCTCGCGCTCACTTGGTCGCGGCTTACCGCGTCGCTCAGTCGCTTCGCGGCACCCAGGAAGGTATGACGTATTTGCTGTTACTGTGTGTCTTCGCGGAATTGGAGTGACTTTAAAAGGTAAGTATTGTTCTTGTTATTATATAATTTAAAAATGTTATGTTAGTTTCCTACCTACTGCAAAGTAAGTTCGTATAACTATAAACATTAATTGATTTCAGATGTCTAAACGCCGTCTTGATTGGAAAGAATCGCTAAAACCGGATGTTACTGTTGGCAAAAAAAGAGGAAAAATAAACATTTTAAAAGATGAAACCTATAAAAATGAAAATGGTAAATTGACTCTTGTGTCTAGTATTAAGACTAAAAAGACATCCACGCAAACAAATACGATTAATAAAAATAATACCATACAAGAATGCACAAGTACACTCAGGTCAGAAATTTGTACTCCTGAAATGTCTCATGTTGAAGAAAAATTTCAATTTATGAACAATGATGTGGTCCCCACTAACAATGATACTGATACACAAAAACAGGACAATGAGAATATTGAAATGACTCCCCGACAGTTATCACGTAGATTAGATGTAGAAAATTTAACTCCAACATTCAGAAAACCCGACTGTTTTTTAGCAGAAACTAAAGAAGTGATGAAAATTATTACACCAGTAAAATTATTCCCTACACCATCCAAGACGCATATAAAAGAAGCCTTTAAAATTATTCCTCCGTACGATTCTGAAGAAAATGAGGAAATTAAACATAATTTTAGTAATTTAAATAACATTACATTAGCGTTGAATGAACAGAATCATGAAGATAATAATGGTGAAGGGAAATTTTCTCTAGACTTAGACTCTAGACAAATACACAACGAGCCTAGATCAGAAAATGAGGCTAGTATACAAGAAGTTGCGCTTACGATTACTTCATAAATGAAGGAGAAGGAAGGAGAAGAGTTTGTCAAAAATATCTTCTAAGTACTTTGGACATAACTCAGCGATTCATTCTGTACACATTGGAAAACACAGATGGTGGGTATGCGAAAACCGATGGACGTGTATCAAATGGTGGATCTAATAGAACTAACGAAATAGTTACAGAACATGCAAACAACTTTATAGAATCTTTGCCGAAAATGCCATCGCACTATTGCAGGAAAGACTCAAAACGATTGTATTTTCCCGAAGAATTTAGGAACGTATCTAACCTGTATCGTATATACAAAGATAACTGCAGGCAAAGTGAAATAAAAGCAATGTCTTTTCAAGTATTTAGGACCTGGTTTAAAAAATCTTACAATATCGGTTTCCACGTGCCGAAAAAAGATAAATGTGCCATTTGTGTGAATACCAAAAATAATGAAGAGAAATCCGGAGAAGAAACAGAAAAAATACAACAGCATGCTAATGAAAAGGATGAATCATATAAAAGATTTAAATGTCATCAAAATATACATAAAAAGGATAAAAGTATAATTTGTGCAAGTTTTGACATGCAAAAAGTTTTAAATACTCCACATGGAGATTCAATGATGCTCTATTTCAGTCGAAAATTATCGGTTTATAATTTTACGATTTACGAAAGCTCTACTAGAAGAGGATACTGCAATGTGTGGACAGAGATAGATGCAAACCGTGGAGCTAACGAAATTTGTACTTGCTTATATAATTACATTAAAAAAATTGACTCATGTGGTTTAACAAGAACTTTGTTATTATATTGCGATTCTTGTTATGGCCAGAACAAAAATAAATTTGTCCTTAGCATGATACGTTACGCACTGTCTCAATGCAAGAACATAAAGACAATTCAAATTAATTATTTGATTCCTGGCCATACCTATATGCCGGTGGATAGTGTTCACGCTACCATTGAGACTAAAATAAGAAAGTGTATCGTTTGGGCACCATCACAATGGCCTACTATAATGGAATTGGCACGTCTGGATCCAGAGCCATACAAAGTTGAAGTACTCAATGGAAAAGATTTCACTGGTTTTGACGATCTTGTTAACTCTACATTTAATAAAAAACAAAAGCTATCAATTTCAAAACTAAGTATTGCTACCTTCAAGAATCAAGAACCCAACTTGATGTATATTAAAAATTCAATGTTACCTGACGCAGAAACCATAACAATTCCTTTGAGTCCATTAAAAAATACAAATTGTTTGAAGGATATGTTATACCCTACAGCATTAGGAATATCTGCCAAAAAATACAAGGATTTAACGAGTCTAGTCAATAAAAACATAATTCCTTCAAGGTTTGCTGCAGAATACAAAAATTTAAAAGTAAGCATTAAAGCAAAGGATTACTTAATGGACACAGATGAAGAAGACATACAAGAAATAGATAGTGCAAATTGATTTAAAAATTGTTAAACTGATTACATTTTGATTTTATGATATTTTACAACGTTTTTAATTTACCCTAAAATAATTTATTTATTCAACATTTATTGTTCACAAAACATACATAAACTTTTGTTTTTGTTCTTTCCAGATAATTTCCAGATAAATATTTTATTTTGTTCTCACAAAATAAATAAATTTCCATAGTTACAGCGTTATGTTTTACCATCCTTTCAGTATTTCTAGCAGTAACGACAAATGAAATGCATCTAGTTATACACAAGAATATCATTTACTTCAGAATTGACACAGATAATTTATTGGTTTATGTAATTACATCAAATATTCTTTACGCATAAATGTTTGATTTTGAGTCTCCCATACATTTATATGCTTCATTTACAGCAAATTCACGTAACAGACAAAAAGTTGCTATTGTTGTAACCAACACAAACACATAATAAAACTTACTTCTGGTAAAATCTTAGTATTCGGCTTGATAGAAAACAAAAAAATACATTTTGGTTCTTAAAATGATACTTCTAAGTTTTATAGTTTAGGAGATTTTTTTATTTTTTTAAATAAATAATTTTCTTTTGCCTCTGGTGAACATTTTTCATTTTGTGGGTTATAGCAGGTTTGCTTTTTGCCGTCGATATAGATATGGTGAATATTATATCTGACGTCTCGAATGCTTTACAATGTTTGTGTTTACTAGTGGATGACGTGAAACGTAAAAGTAAAAGTCGTCGTGGCCTAAAGAATAAGACATCCGGTGCATTCGTGTTGAAGCGATGCACCGGTGTTCGAATCCCGCAGGCGGGTACCGATTTTTCTAATGAAATACGTACTCAACAACTGTTCACGATTGACTTCCACGGTGAAGGAATAACATCGTGTAATAAAAATTAAGCCCACAAAATTATAATTTGCGTAATTACTGGTGTTAGGACCTCTTGTGAGTCCGCACTGGTAGGTACCACCACCCCGTCTATTTCTGTCATGAAGCAGTAATGCGTTTCAGCTTGAAGGGCGGGGCAACCGTTGTAATTATACTGAGACCTTCGAACTTATATACCAAGGTGGGTGGCGCATTTACGTTGCAGATGTCTATGGGCTCCAGTAACCACTTAACACCGGGTAGGCTGTGAGCTTGTCCACCCGTCTAAGAAAAAAATATATACTTTTTATTATTTCCACTACTCGTGAAAATCGGAGAATAATCGAAGATATTGATTAAGAACCCACAGAACATTAACTACACAACAAAAAATACCGCGTATTGACACTTAAATATATTCTAGGGGGTTAATAACAGAGAGGGTGATCCGTTAAGGGTTTGGCTTCTTCAACGCTTAGTAATAACAGTCCATGTTATTATTTAAATATAAACGTAATCTTAGTATTGAGGATATTATAAAAAGGAACAGCTTATTGACGGTTTGTAAATGAAGAACACTGAGTAACAGAATGTCTAGGAGCGTATGAAGAAACATAGCCATATATAGTGCTTTATTTTCTTAACATACAAACTCAGATAAGATCTATTATTGTTTACATCAGTTTCCCTATCTTAGTAAGCGATAAATAATAGTTTAAAAAAAAACTAAAAAAATACGCTTTTATAGAAAATCTTACTAAAAATAGAAAATAAATGTTAATAAATTTGAATTAAAAATAGTGTAAGAAAAAATGATTTTATTGTAAAAAAATCGTGTGGTGTACGGTATCAGTAGTTATAAATATTTGATGAATGGATATGAGTAGAAGGGTTGTTTTGATAATATCCTGAAAAGCATCCCACGCTTTTTTTAGTTGGATTTTCTATAAAAGCGTATTTTTTTAGTTTTTTAAGCTATTATTAATTTTTAATTTTTTAGTTGAATTTAATTTTTTTTTAAATACTGAATTGTCATCGGTCCTTAATGAGTATGGCAAATTTCGAGTTCATCCGACGTTTTGAAGGCGCTCAAAATCATGTTCAAAGATTGCGCTACATACTAACATACATACGTCTGAAGCTAATAAAACGTATTAAAAGTATATCATAAACTAATCTGTTAAGAATTAAATTTAATCGAGGAATCATGTCATCTCGCTCGGTTTCAGCCAATTTACATAGCGATATTGGCACAGCGCCGGCTGCCAGCATCACTAACCGCGGCCACTCGGATTCCAACCAGGACATATACTAGCGGGAACACATCATTAGGTGAATTCCAGATTCCACAAGGGAATGCAGGAATGCTTTTGTGAATCGTTTATTTATTGCTGAACAAACAAACTTTTATTTTATTTTATTGCATAGATGGGTGGACGAGCTTACTGCCCACCTGGTATTAAGTGGCTACTGGAGCCCATAGACATTTACAACGCAAATGCGCCACCCACCTTGAGATATAAGTTCTAAGATCTCAGTATAGATACAACGGCTGCCCCACCCTTCAAGCCGAAACGCATTACTGCTTTACGGCAGAAACAGGCGGGGTGGTGGTACCCACCCGTGCGGACTCACATGAGATCCTACCACCGGTAACTTACGATCAAACTGTTGGATAATGTTTACTGAAATTCACAGACGTGAAAACATGAGTGTCACTATACGCCACGTAACTAGATTGAAGGTAGAGTCGTAACTCAGAACTGCTCTATACGCATCTACAATCTTTATACCGCAAACAGGACGTCTTACTTATTTATTGCTTAGATGGGTGGATGAACTCACAGCCCCTCAGAACCTGGTGTTAAGTGGGTTACTGGAGCTCATAGACATCTACAACGTTAAGGACGATGTTCAGTAATATAAATCCAGTTATAGTTTGGTTTATGCTTTCAAAAACATTGATAATGTTCTGTCTTGCAATTCTACCAATGTAAAAGAGAAGATCGTTTGTCGCTTGTTATTGTAAGTCAATGAGAAAATCTATATATATTCCGCATATACTTACGAAAGCTCAAAAACTTATTTAAGCTCCACTTGAATAAGAACATTTTGACTATTTCAACATTTGACCTGGAAAGTTTAGCTGCATCGGTAAAGTATGACGATTGTTACTAATGCAGCGAGCTTAAAATAGGCCTCAATCCCAATAAAGCTGCTTTGTTTCGAAGTGATTTTTTTCAATGATCAATGACGGGTTATTCGAAATATCTATCATTTTTTTTAATTGCTTAGGTGGGTGGACGAGCACACAGCCCACCTGGTGTTAAGTGGTTACTGGAGCCCATAGACATCTACAGCGTAAATGCGCCACCCACTTTGAGATATAAGTTTTAAGGTCTCAGTATAGTCATTAAGTCCGCCTTTATACTGTCTAGTATATAAAGTTACAAATAAAAATAAAATAAATAACGGATACCCCACCCTTCAAACCGAAACGCATTACTGCTTCACGGCAGAAATAGGCGGGCTGGTGGTACCTATCTGTGCGGACTCACAAGAGGTCCTACCACCGGTGAATCACACAGGAATCATTCAATTGCCTCTCAAATTTACTTTTTGTCAAAATCATTTTGTTGGATTACCGAGAATATTTCTCGGTAATCCAACAAAATGATTTTGGGAATTTTTTCCCAATCTGTCACGCAAAGAGCGAGTTAATCGAAAAATTGGGCCACTTGTGATATGAATCGCTTATCATGTCACAGACTGAAATATTTCTATTGACCCTGTAGGAATATACGACAAAGGGAAGATCTTCCACCGAGCGGGTGATATTGCTCGGTAGACCGACGGTCCGAATGTTGTTGTTCGGAACTTGTATATATGCGCTTTATCTTGAAAATGTCGTAAGCGAGATTCAGGCATCTGTCAATTATCTTGCGTTGTACGATGGCTACCCGCCACATCACTCCCCTCCGAGACTGGAGGTCGTGTCATTTTTAGTTGGCGTTGTCCGTGCTGAGATTAGCTTGCAAGGGCCAGTGCTGCTCGAAGTCTGCGGTGAGTCGAGACTGAGCTTGAATGCTGCGTGCGTGTCGCCAGTAGTCCATGTGTGCAGAGCTGCCACGCCGGAGATGTGTGACCCCAAGCGTTGATGATCCGGTCGTGGGCTGCGATGAACTGTTGCGGCGTGATGAGGCAGTGAAGTTGCGTGCCGTAGGACCAGGAAGCGCGGTGAGTCGGCTGCGATGGTCCTGTTGAGGCTGCGATGCTGGCTTGCTGTGGGACGACTGTCAATGACGTGCTTTTATCTGCGAGAATGCGGGGATTGTGGTAGCCGGAGTTCTTGATGCGCTGAAGATGAATCAGAAGGTTGCGTGTTCACATCACGTCGGGGTCACCAGTTTTGGGAGTCTAAACGACGAAAGGAAAGATCTTCCACCGAGCGGGTGATATTGCTCGGTAGACCGACGGTCCGAATGTTGTTGTTCGGAACTTGTATATATGCGCTTTATCTTGAAAATGTCGTAAGCGAGATTCAGGCATCTGTCAATTATCTTGCGTTGTACGATGGCTACCCGCCACAACCCGTAGTAGGATTATAGATTTGATCCTCGATTGCTGGGAACGAGACGAGGTAA